GCAGCAGCACCAGGCAGCCTCCCCAGCTTGTCTTGGCACGAACAAAGGCGTCAAACTCAGCAACAGAACCAGACGGCCACCAACACCAGCATGTCTTGGCGTCACACCAGCATAGCACCAAGCGGCCTCCCCAGCATGTCTTGGCACGAACACCAGCATGTCTTGGCGTCAACACCATCATGTCCCAGCAGGCGGATGTCTTGAGTCTTGGCGTCAAAACCAGGGCAACAGCACCAGGCGGCCTCCAGCAGCAGCAGCATGTTTTGACGAATGACACAAGCACAAGCATGTCTTGGCGTCAAAACCAGATGTCTTGGCAACAGCACCAGGCGGCCTCCTCAGCATGTCTTGGCACGAACCCCAGCATGTCTTGGCGTCCACACCAGCCTGTCTTGGCATCAGCACCAGGCGGCCTCCCCAGCATGTCTTGGCACCAACTCTTGGCACGAAGACCAGCGTGTTTTGACTTCAATACCAGCATGTCTTGGCAACAGCAGGCGGCCTCCCCAGCATGTCTTGGCACGAACACAAGCAGGTCTTCGCGTGAACACCAGCATGTCTTGGCAGCAGCACCAGGCAGCCTCCCCAGCATGTCTTGGTACGAATATTAATATGTCTTGGCGTCAACACCAGCATGTCTAGGCAACAGCACCAGGCGGCCTCCAACACCAGCATGTCTTGGCGTCAAGGCGGCCTCTTGGCACCCAGCATGTCTTGGCGTCAACAGCAGCATGTCTTGGAGCGAACACCAGCATGTCTTGGCACGAACACCAGCACCAGGCGGCCTCCCTAGCATGTCTTGGCACGAACACCAGATTGACTTGCGGCAACACCGGCATTTTTTTGCACGAACAACAACATGTCTTGGCGTCAACACCAGCATGTCTTGGCAACAGTATGAGGCGGCCTCCCCAGCATGTCTTGGCACAAGCACCAGCATGTCTTGGCTTCAACATCCAACATCATAATGTCTTGACAACAGCGGCAGGCGGCCTGACAGCGTGTCCTGGCACGAACACCAGCATGTCTTGGCGTCGCCACCAGCATGTCTTGCAGCATGTCTTGGCACGAACACCAGCATGTCTTGGCACGAACACCAGCATGTCTTGCGTCAACGCCAGCATGTCCCAGCAGGCGGATGTCGTGGCAAGAACACCAGCATGCCTTGGCGTCAACACCAGCATGTCTTGGCAGCAGTACCAGGCGCCTCCCCAGCATGTCTTGGCACGAACACCAGCATGTCTTGGCGCCAACACCAGCATGTCTTGGCAACAGCACCAGGCGGCCTCCCCAGCATGTCTTGACACGAAAACCAGCCTGGCTTGCCTTGGCGTCAACACCAGACTGCCTTGGCAACAGCACCAAGCGGCCTCCCCAGCATGTCTTGGCACGAGCACCAGCATGTCTGGGCGTCAAAACACCAGCATGTCTTGGCAACAGCACTAGCATGTCTTGGCAACAGCACCAGTGTCTTGGCGCGAACAACAGCATGTCAGCATGTCTTGAAACGAACACTAGCATGTCTTGGCGTCAACACCAGCATGTCCTGACAACAGCGCCAGGCGGCCTCCCCAGCATGTCTTGGCACAAACACCCGCATGTCTTGGCGTCAGCACTACGCGCATGTCTTCGCACAAACAACAGCATGTCTTGGCGTAACCATCCAACATCAGAATGTCTTGCCAACAGAGCCAGGCGGCCTGCCCAGCGTGTCCTGGCACGAACACCATCATGTCTTGGCGTCGCCACCAGCATGTCTTGGCAACAGCACCAGGCGGCCTCCCCAGCATGTCTTGGCACAGCACGCGGCCTCCCCAGCATGTCTTGGAACGAACAGGAACATGTCTTGGCAACAACATCAGGCAAACTCCCCAGCATGTCTTGGCACCAACCCTTGGCACGAACACCAGCATGTCTTGACTTCAATACCAGCATGTCTTGGCAACAGCAGGCGGCGCATGTCTTGGCACGAGCACTAGCATGTCCTGGCAAACCAGGCGGCCTCCCCAGCATGTCTTGGCGTCAACACCAGCATGTCTTGGCAACAGCACCAGGCGGCCTCCCCAGCATGTCTTGGCACAAGCACCAGCATGTCTTGGCACGAACACCAGCATCACGAACGCCAGCATGTCTTGGCGTCAACACCAGCTTTTCGTCTTGGAACAAACACCAGCATGTCTTGGCGTCAACACCAGCATGTCTTGGCAACAGCACCACGCGGCCTCCCCAGCATGTCTTGGCACGAACACCAGCATGTCTTGGAGTCAACACCAGCATTCCTGGCGACAGCATCAAATACCTCCCCAGCATGCCTTGGCACGAACACCAGCACAGCATGTCTTGACGCGGCAGCAGCATGTCTTGGCAACAGCCCCAGGCGGCCTGCCCAGCATGTCTTGGCACGAACACCAGCATGTCAGCATGTCTTGAAACGAACACTAGCATGTCTTGGCGTCAACACCAGCATGTCTTGACAACAGCGCCAGGCGGCCTCCCCAGCATGCCTTGGCACAAACACACGCATGTCTTGGCGTCAGCACTACGCGCATGTCTTTCCCCCTGCAAACCGGCAAAAAATCCCCCTAGAAACCAGTCAAATTCCCTAGAAAGTTGCACCTTCGTCTGGGCCAAGCCCGCTTGCCATTCTGCAGCTCTCTGCAGCTCTCTGTTCTGTCCCTTGAAGCCATGTGGAGACGCGCCGACATGCCCACCCTCTCCTTGGAAACCAGCTTACGCAATTCGGCGCCGACTCACTCACTCTAACAAACACAACAATTCAAGGCAAACAAAAACACAGCATATACCTCAAAGCCAGGCAACGCTAAGCATTTACAACTTGAGCAAAATCTGGCATTTCAAAACACAACTCAATGGTAGCATCTCCTTGGAGTGAATTCAATGGATAGATTCCCCTAATGGAGCCTTCAAGGGTGAAACTGGTCGCAAACCCACGGTCGAGGTTGCGAATGTGAGCTGGATGCTGTTTTGGGTGCGACTTTATGGGTTGGCACCTGCTCACCTTTTCGGTGACATGTGGATAGTTTTGGGCGCCCCGCGATTCGGGCACCGCCACGTACAGCCCCTGCTGCGGGAATTTCCCCCACCTCACCAAAGAACCCGACAAAAGGGGTGCCAAAGGCTCCGTTTTGGTTTCCTTTCGAGATAATTAACAACTAGTTGCCCCCAGTCCCCAGTAACTCGAATCCGCTTTTGCTTGCAAGGCCCCCCAGCGATCAGGAGTCCTTGTGGGTAGCCAGGCTGTTGCAGTAAGTCACTCCCCTTCAGGAATAATACAATAATCACTTAATAAACGCATTCCTGGTATTCGGAAAAGTGGGGGTCTGGGTTCCAGCGCTCAAGAGGGATCAAATCGTTCTGTTTAACCCGGAGCCAATCGTTAGAGCTTTTGGTCTTTTCCATTTTGGGCCTGTCTCCAAATGAGGGACCCCAACAAAATGGTGTTATGCCTTCGGTTTCCAATTGACAACCCGATTCCCCTTCAAAAGGCACACCCATGTTGGTCCATCTTTCAAGGCTAGTTGACTCATCGACGCATCCTGTCTGCCTGCATGGTGAAATGGGTGGGAGGGTGCCCTTGTAATTAGCTTGTAGGCAAAGAGGCGTGTTCCGTTGTGCTAATTCCAATGGTTATTTTAGATACCGTAGTCCTGGTTGAACTCCTTTGGACAGGGTGCACTCCAAATATACTATGCTCTGATTGTGGTTCATGCTTAGTCCACGTAGTACCCCCAAAATTTATTGCATAGCTGATGGTAAAACACATGCTAATATGACAGGAATGGCAACACAATCATGGGGGAACTATGCCTACTGTCACCCAACTGTACCTCCAACAGCGCCAAAGGCCCCATCCCATGGCCTTCACTGGCTGAGCTTCTGGATTTCCGCCTTCTCGTTCTCCAGCTCGGCCTGGTCCATTGCTCGCCCCGTTTTGGGGAACCCCGAGATGGCGAGACGTTCCGTTTTGCTTTTGGGCCCGAAAAGTCTCCAGGGCGGTTTCCCACGGGGGGCTGTCTCATTGTGAGGGCATGACCTGCGCCAGAAAGTGAGCGAGAAAGCGAGCGGACTGTGCGCACAACCCGGGCGCCCTTCTCTCTTTTCCGCGACTTCATTCAAGCTTGGCACAACAAAATTACATCTCCACGCTCTCTTGTCTGGACGCAGCAGGCTACGCCGTCTTGACCTGGACACGAGCAGAAACGCTTATTCCAAAACAGAAAGGGATGTCCTGCGCGGTGGGGCTTTTCAACCGCTGTTGCCCCCATTCCACTCTGAAACCTGAACAAACATGGAGAAATCACGAAAAATCCATCTGCCAGGTGGGGCTTTGCAACCGCTATTGCCCCCATTCCACTCTGAAACCTGAACAAACATGGAGAAATCACGAAAAATCCATCTGCCAGGGCACATCCCTTGGTTTCGCAAGCATCGACTTGAAAACCGGAAAAATCAGGACATGTTGTAGAATGCTTCTCTGTTTCTCCAGATGTTCCTTTCAATTTCTTTCTCCTTTTGGTTACCTTGGCCCGAGCTCCTTCATCTCGCCGGCTTTCGTCATCTTCGTCATCTTCGAGCGGGTCCGAAAGAGAAACAACTTGTTTGTCTTTGTCTCGACTTCACTTTGTGGCTGGTTTGTGCATGCATTCCCTCTTTGAGCGGTCGATGGCTTCCTGGCTTTCAGTTCTAAAAGACCGATAAATCTGGAAAAACAGCCCCATAACCGCAAAAGAAAGAAGAGGGCATCAGGGTTCGTTTGGGCGACAACCAGGTTCAAGGCGCAAAAAAGGGGGCCAAAGCAGGCCCGGGGCAGCACCTTTCTGCGCTCCTAGAACTCTGCAACTCTAGGATGTAGCCTCGCTTTGCTGAGCGCCTTGCGCAGGAAAAGCTGCATCAGTCGTATCTTCGATTTTCGAGAAAAGACTGTTGCAACAGCAACAAATTCCCACCATCCATCCCCTTGACACCTCCAATATCTGTAGTTAGAGCAAGTTAAAAGAGCGTAGCACGTGCACGAGGTGACGGCCGCCCAACTTCCACGCAATTTGCACCGGCTGGCGCTCGCGTGAAAGGCCCAACTCAGAAAACAAGTTGGTGCGCCTAAACGCGTTTGAAATAGCTTCAGTAATCCTTGCCTCAGACCATTCTGCACAGTGCGGCAAAATGAGACGAGGTAACACACACTTGACATCAGCCCTACTGGAGGATTGAGGTTGGTGGGTGTGGGCTGCCAAATTAAAAGAGAGACCTGTACTATGGAACAGCCTCCCCTGGAAATCGCAGACAGCTCTTCTGCCTGCGTGTTTGTCACTGAATCTGTTCAAAATGCGACGAATCTGGGCGAGTGGCCAAGACACGTGAACAGACTTCGGGTGTGCGGAACTGGGCAAAAGGGGTCGCCATTGCCTGCTCTCTTTGAGATGCAAAGCGTAGTCAAGCACACCAGTACGTGCCCAACCAGGACCTTTAAACAAACGAACATCCAACATTTCGACCTCGGTCTGCGACACACTCTCAAACGATATTTGGAAAAATGCAGCCTTCTTCTTCAAATTTCTGCAGAACTCAAACCGCTGTTGGTTAGAGCCGTCGATGACAATCAAACCATCATCTTTGAAGCGGCAGTAAAGAAGCACACCGTATCGTTGTTGCGTCACTGGGCATGCAGCAAACTGTTGTTCGGCCAGCTTGTAAAAGCAAGCATCAGATAGCTCGCCTGAGCACCGCAAGCCCATGCCCGTGCCAACCCGGACAGCCCAAAAATTGTTGCTGCCAGGTATGCTCACCAATTGGTTCTCAAGAATGCAGTCAATCATGCACCGGGCATCCTCATTCAAATCAGCCGGAAAACACTGTGCAGCAAGATCAGCCAACACACGGTGTTTGCCACTCATGAAAAAGTCTTTTATATCGAATTTGATAAGCCGGGCCGTTGTCGGAACTCGAATTGCGCGTATAAGTGCCAGCAAATGGTCCGAGTGACGAAGAATGTGTTGTTGTTGCTTAATGAAAGCCTTCAAATGGTAACCAACCCAACGCATACCAGGGTTCATGAAATGCACAGGAGCAGCATGTATCATGCGCAAAGACACCTCACCACGGGGCTTGTGTGTCTTCACCGTTGTCCGTATAGAACAAACACACTCTTTGCAGCCTTTGCGTAAAGAGGAAACCAAAGTAGAAGCCAAGTCTTCGTCACCAGTTGTTGCACCGATTGCGTGTGAGACAGAACGATACTGCTGGATCATGTCATGCACCATGCCCTCATGCATGTATACCTCTTCATACTGTGGCTCGCGTAAAGATGCGAAGATGGCGTTCTGCAAAGCAGTCTTATCACACACGGCAAAGCCACCATCTTTGTCAGTAGGCACAGCGCCCAAAGGTCCTTTCCTGAGCATACGCAAGCCATGTCGGGCAACTTGGCTCAAGTTTGAAGATTGATTCTTCTTGTCCAGGAAAAAGCTCTTAGCAGTGACACAGGCTCCCAAAGCAGCGTTCTTTGCCTCTAGTAGAAATGATTCCCAGGCATCAGGCAAAGGATCTGCAATGGGTGGGGTCAAACTGTGATCGCGCAGCTTCCACCATTGTGGAACACTGCGCGGTTCGTTGTTTTGGGCAAACTTGGCGTGAAAATGCATCCAGCGTATCTTGAATTCCCATTGTTGTAATGCAAAAGAAATTCTGGCCAGCGATGGCGACTTCCGGGGTAGAAACACATGCTTTGCATGCAAACGCAGGACAAACTCGATGGGCCAGGGTAGTTCTCTGCACGAAGGAACCCAAGCCTCTTTGTCCAGAGGAGAATGCATGTAAACACCGCCATGTCCAAGCCCACATTGCAAAAGGCAGCAAAATTCAGGAATTGGCATGCCGCGAATCCATCGCAGAAAGGTGTTAAGTCCACTGCTCAGGCATCCCACTGGAAGCCCTTGCTCTTTCCTTTTCGCTGCTTTCCAGCGCTTTCGCCTTTGCCTTTTCCCTTCCTGCCGAAGCGAAAAACTGAGTTCAGCTTTCCCTGATTCTTGCCTTTTCCTCCAGATTTGCCGCCATGCCCTTTGCCCGACTTGTTGCGGTTGCCTTTGGGGTTGGCTACGCCTTTGCCATACCAGTCTCCCTTCTTTCCTTTGCCAGCGTGTCCTGGAGGGCCCTTGCCTTTCCAAGTAGTCATGCCTGAGCCCTTACCACTGGACTTGCCCTGAGAGCCCCAGCGTGAGGGGGCACTTTCTTGGACAAAAGCTTCAAGGGACTCCTTGGACATGTTTGCATCAGCGGCTGCGGAGACAAAAGCTGCGGCAGCATCAACGTTCAACCCTGGGGGCTTTCTGGGCAGCTTCTTGCTCACCGGTTTTGCTTTGGCTTTGGAAACGGCAATGCGCTGGTCAATGGCCTGGTTCAGAAAATCCTGCGGCGAAGTCTGTAACAGGCTATTGAGCATCTTGTCCTTCTGCTGGTCCTTCCGGATCTGTAAATCCTTTTTGGCTTTCAACGCAGACGCCGCTTTTTCAACTGTGCGCTTGTAGATCACTGTGGCTTTCGCTGTGAGCGACGTTTCCGACATGGTCTGAAGGTCAACCTCGTCTTCATCAACGTCCAAATCCAGTTCTTGCCAGAGGGATGACCGTGCTGATCTTGTTTGCAAACACCTGTCCACAAAAGTTGTCTTCTTGCTCAGCAAGCGTAGTTCTTCACGCTGCTGACGTGCCGGGATCAAGTCAAAACTTCGCATTTTCTCCAGAAACGCTCTGTAGAGATGCTCTCTGCAAGCTCTCAGTGTGGAGCCCTCAGGAAAGTTCACCGTCCACCCCAAGGACTCAGCGCTGGGACGCACCGAGTCCCAGAGAGGCGTCTCAAACGGGACAGGGAAGGGCTTGGAGCCATTCGGAATACGTCCTTCAGCTAGAGCTTTGAGATCGCCATCTAGTTTGCTGATTCTGGCATTAGTCTTCTGGAGCTGCTGGATCTTTGCGGCCAACTCTAAAGAGCTCTTCTTGATGCACTTGATAGCGTCTGGGGGCAGAAAGCCCTTCAGCTCCTCCTCCACCAGCCGTTTGATCTCCGTGATCTTCACTTCTTCAGCTTGCCTCTCTGAGGGTAACAATCCGGGTGGATCAGACACATTCGGCTCAAACTCACGTGAGCGGGAACGAGTACGCGGTGTAGTTCCTGCCCGGTTCAAGGCAGCTTGCCCCTCAGGGAGTTGCGAAACCGGGTGCAGCTGCCTGCCACGTTGGCTGGCACTGAGCTCACCGTCACCGTTTGCACCGACCATGGCGTCGAAGGATTAAAGTACAACAAACAGGGTTCGTTTGGGCGACAACCAGGTTCAAGGCGCAAAAAAGGGGGCCAAAGCAGGCCCGGGGCAGCACCTTTCTGCGCTCCTAGAACTCTGCAACTCTAGGATGTAGCCTCGCTTTGCTGAGCGCCTTGCGCAGGAAAAGCTGCATCAGTCGTATCTTCGATTTTCGAGAAAAGACTGTTGCAACAACAACAACAACAACAACAACAACAACAACAACAACAACAACAACAACAACAACAACAACAACAACAACAACAACAACAACAACAACAACAACAACAACAAGACAACAACAACAACAACAACAACAACAACAACAACAACAACAACAACAACAACAACAACAACAACAACAACAACAACAACAAATGACAGGAATGGCAACACAATCATGGGGGAACTATGCCTACTGTCACCCAACTGTACCTCCAACAGCGCCAAAGGCCCCATCCCATGGCCTTCACTGGCTGAGCTTCTGGATTTCCGCCTTCTCGTTCTCCAGCTCGGCCTGGTCCATTGCTCGCCCCGTTTTGGGGAACCCCGAGATGGCGAGACGTTCCGTTTTGCTTTTGGGCCCGAAAAGTCTCCAGGGCGGTTTCCCACGGGGGGCTGTCTCATTGTGAGGGCATGACCTGCGCCAGAAAGTGAGCGAGAAAGCGAGCGGACTGTGCGCACAACCCGGGCGCCCTTCTCTCTTTTCCGCGACTTCATTCAAGCTTGGCACACCAAAATTACATCTCCACGCTCTCTTGTCTGGACGCAGCAGGCTACGCCGTCTTGACCTGGACACGAGCAGAAACGCTTATTCCAAAACAGAAAGGGATGTCCTGCGCGGTGGGGCTTTTCAACCGCTGTTGCCCCCATTCCACTCTGAAACCTGAACAAACATGGAGAAATCACGAAAAATCCATCTGCCAGGTGGGGCTTTGCAACCGCTATTGCCCCCATTCCACTCTGAAACCTGAACAAACATGGAGAAATCACGAAAAATCCATCTGCCAGGGCACATCCCTTGGTTTCGCAAGCATCGACTTGAAAACCGGAAAAATCAGGACATGTTGTAGAATGCTTCTCTGTTTCTCCAGATGTTCCTTTCAATTTCTTTCTCCTTTTGGTTACCTTGGCCCGAGCTCCTTCATCTCGCCGGCTTTCGTCATCTTCGTCATCTTCGAGCGGGTCCGAAAGAGAAACAACTTGTTTGTCTTTGTCTCGACTTCACTTTGTGGCTGGTTTGTGCATGCATTCCCTCTAGCGGTCGATGGCTTCCTGGCTTTCAGTTCTAAAAGACCGATAAATCTGGAAAAACAGCCCCATAACCGCAAACAAAAAGAAGAAGGCATCCGTATTGTTGAAGTGCAGAAAAAGAAGAGGGCCCCTAAAGCCGTTGCGCCGTTTCTTTTTCGTTTCGCCAAAAAACCGCCTTGGAAAAGAAACGATACACCGAGAACTGCCTCGGTCGGCCCGGGTCGTCCCGGAGTTGCCCTGGGACCCTGCAAGCTGCTGTCCCGTAGGCGTCCGCACGCCCCCAGCAACGAATTGGGAATGCCGAAAAGGAAAAGACGAATTGGGAATGCAATGGGAAATGGGAAGAATCTTGGAACACCTTCCGAATCCATGGAAGTTTCACGTAAAATCCGGAGAATACCCGCTTTTTTTGAGGGTCTAGAACCTGATTGTCGTCTGGAAATGGTTTGCACACCTGAAACCCCTAGAAATCGCAATTATTCGGCACTTGACGGAAGGAACTCTCCAATTCAGACATATTCTGAATCAGAATCATTCACCTGAATCAGAATCAGAATTATTCATTCTGAATTCGGAATTATTGCCTTTGGGCGACAAATTGGCAAAACCGGAAAGCACCACACCTGAAACTCAGCGCAAAACACCCGCAAAAAGCCCGCAAAGTCCCGCAAATAAAAAAAGACGTGAGTTTCCGGAGTGTGCGTAGTAAAATCAGTGGAATACCCACTCCAGTGCAGAGTTGCATAATTGCTGGGAAAATGTACAGAGTTGCAAAATTGCGCGCCCAAACAACGGAAAAAGACAACAAGACTTGAATCCAATTGTTCCCCCAAGAACCACTCCTAGTTTTGATGTTCACTCTTGCCTTTTGCAATCCACTCCTGCTTTTTGATTCCTGCATTTCATTTGAAACACCTGAAACTCCTAGTTTTCAGAGGGTCTCCTGGAAATATCCCGGAGAACGGAAAAACAGAGAAATAATCCGGAGACGGAGGACCCAGGAACACAGGAAACAAAATCGAACTGGAGAAAGCGAGTTCCCGTCCAATGGAGTTCCTGGACCAACACAAACACCATGCGTCAATAGAAAAATTTGGGCGAACCCTTCACGCGAACCCATACCAATCAAATGGAAGATCATTCGCAACAAGTGGCGGGGATCTTCTAATCGAAAGTAACCATTCGAATCAACCAGAATGCGGGCCAGAATATCTTCTACAATAATTGCGTCGCACAAAAAGAACCTATATAACATTACCCAAACAGAAAACAGAAACACTGCAACACAAGCACCTCCAAAACACAACCCACAGCGCTGGCTGCAAAACCCCTTGTGCCTTGCAAAAGACAGCTTGCAGCACTCAGCCTGGTGTCCGTGCCAAGACATGCTGCCCAGCCGGGTGTTCGTGCCAAGCTGCTGGCCAGCCGGGTGTTCGTGCCAAGGCCTGCTGCCCAGCCGGGTGTTCGTGCCAAGACATGCTGGCCAGCCTGGCGTTCGTGCAAAGACATGCACCAGGCTGGACAGCATGTCTTGGCACGAACACCAGGCTGACCTGGCGCGAACACCAGACTGGCGGCATGTCTTGGCACAAGCACCAGGCTGGCGGCATGTCTTGGCACGAACACCAGGCTGGCCCATGTCATTGCACGAACACCAGCCTGGGGCCCATGTCTTAGCACGAACTTCGGACTGGCCGCATGTCTTGGCGCAAACTTGGCACGAACACCAGGCTGGCCCATTTCTTGGCACGAACACCAGGCTGGGCCCATGTCTTGGCACGAAAACCAGCTCGCCCATGTCTTGCCACACCAGACTGGCCGCATGTTTCGGCACGAACACCCGGCTGGCCCATGTCTTGGCACGAACACCAGACTGGCCGCATGTCTTGGCACGAACTCCAGGCCCATGTTTTGGCACGAACGCCAGACTGGCCGCATTGCCAACGCAGGCCGCCCATGTCTTGGCACGTTGGCACAAACACCAGCTCGCCCATGTCTTGCAATGAACACCAGACTGGCCGCATGTCTGGGCACGAACAGCAGGCTGGCCCATGGCACGAACACCAGGCTGGCCCGGTTATTGGTACGAACACCAGGCTGGGCCCATGTCTTGGCACGAACACGAGGCTGGCCGCATGTCTTGGCACAAGCACCAGGCTGGTGGCATGTCTTGGCACGAACACCAGGCTGGCCCATGTCTTGGCACGCGCACCAGGCTAGCCTGGCACGAACGCCAGACTGGCCGCATGTCTTGGCACGAACACTAGGCTGGCCCATGTCACCAGGCTGGCCCATGTCTTGGCACGAACACCAAACTGGCCCATGTCTTGGCACGAACTGCCGCATGTCTGGGCACGAGCACCAGGCGGCCATGTCTTGGCACGAACACCAGGCTGGTGCATGCATGTCTTGGCACGAACACCAGGCGAGGCTTATGTCTTGGCACAAACAGCAGGCCGTGGCACAAATACTACATTGGCCGATGTCTTGGCACGAACACCAGACTGGCCGCATGTCTTGGAGGCTGGCCGATGTCTGTGCACGAACACCAGACTGGCCGCATGTCCCCACGTCTTCGAACGAACACCAGGCTAGCCCATGTCTTGGCACGAACACCAGGCTGCCCGCATTTCTTGGCACGAACACCAGGCTCACGAACACTAGGCTGCCTGCATTTCTTACCAGGCTCACCACATGTCTTGGCACGAACACCAGGCTGGCCGCATGTCTTAGCACACACACCAGGCTGGCCGCTTGCTTTCGCACGAACACCAGGCTGGCCCATGTCTTCCTTGGCACGAACACCAAACTGGCCGCATGTCCTGGCACGAGCACCAGACTGGCCCATGTCTTGGCACGAAATGGCACGAACACCAAACTGGCCGCATGTCTTGGCACGAACACCAGACTGGCCGCATGTCTTGGCACAAACACCAGCTGGCCCATGTCTTGGCACAAACACCACACTGGCCACATGTTTTGGCACGTGCCTTGGCACGAACATCGGACTGGCCGCATGTCTTGGCACGAACACCAAACTGGCCGCATGTCTTGGCACGAACACCATGCTGTCTTGGCACGAGCACCAGGCTGGCCAGCATGTCTTGGCACCCACCAGGCTGGCCCATGTCTTGGCACGAACACCAGCCTGGGGCCCATGTCTTGCAACGAACACCAGCTTCGCACGAACACCAGGCTGGCCCAGGTTGTAAAATCTTGGCACAAACACCAGGCTGGCCCATGTCTTGGCACGAACCCATGTGTTGGCGAACGCCAGACTGGCCACATGGCTTAGCGAACACAAGGCTGGCCCATGTCTTGGCACGAACACCAGGCTGGTGCATGCATGTCTTGGCACGAACACCGGACTAGGCCGCCCAAGCAGCTCACGTCTTGCACGAACACCAGCCTGGCCGCCCATGTTTGTCTTGGCACGAACACCAGACTGGCCACATGTCTTGGCACGATCGCCAGTGGCCCATGTCTTCCGTGCAACGAACACCAGGCCAGCACGCATGTCTTGGCACGAACACCAGAGGAAACGCATGTCTTGGCACGAACACCAAGCCCCATGTCTTACCAGATCTTGGCACGAACAACAGGCTGGCCCATGTCTTGGCACGAACACCAGGCTGGCCTGGCGCGAACGCCAGACTAACCGCATGTCTTGGCACGAACACCAGGCTGGCCCATGTCTTGGCTCCAACACTAGGCTGGCCCATGTC